GCTTGTTCCCTGATCATGAGTTATAGGTGGTTGAAAGATGCCAAGGGTGTGCAAGAAATATAATGTGTGTCCTCTTGAAGAAAAACACTTTTAACCACTGAGCCATCTCTCCAGAATTGTCCAAAAATGTTTGTGGTTACTTATTTTGGTGTTTGTTCATATGTGTGGGTGTGTAGGAAAGCATGTGCCAAAGCATGAAGGTGGAGTCAGAAGACAAAACCCAAGAGATTGTCCTCTCCTTCTACCATGTTGGAAGCAGGGATACACTCAGGTCATCAGGCTTGGTGGCAGGGGTCTTCACCTGATGTACTGTCTCTGGGCCCTGTTCAAGCTTTATTATCCCAGGCCATGCTTCTTTCCTCCCTCTCTCCTTTCTCTCCCCGTCTATCACCTCTTCATTTTGTCAGCTTTGAAACTGCTCAAGAGAATTTACTAAAAGTAGAGGAATATTGGAGAACAAAATACGTGGGGAAATTACAGCTCGATATAACATGATACAGACATCTGCTGTTACATTTATTATCATTATTATTATTATTATTTATTAAAAATTTCCACCTCTTCCCCACCTCCATTTTCCATCCCCCTCCACACCTCCCTCTCCCCCCTTCCCCACCCCCTCCCCCTCCCTCTTTAGTCTTAAGAGCAGTCAGGGTTCCTCGCCCCGTGGGAAGTCCAAGGTCCTCCCCCATCCATACAGGTCTTTAACGGTGAACATCCAAACAAACCAAGCTCCCACATAGTCCATGCGGTAGAATTAAATCCCAATGCCACTGTCCTTGGCTTCTCAGTCAGCCTTCGTTGCCAGCCACCTTCAGAGTATCCATTTTAATCACATGCTCCGTCACTCCCAGTCCAGCTGGCCTTGGTGAGCTCCCATTAGATTATTTTTTAAATTGAGTCAACATATGGGTAATTTTATAATGAATTAAAATATGTGCACAATGTAAAAAGCCATGTAATACTGAGGTGTAGTCTATAAAAAGTTTGGTCGCTCATTGGCTTCCCTGTGAGGTTACCTCTATTACAGAATCCCTAAGACTTGTGAGGTTACAGCTCAGTTCCAAGCACACAGGCAACAAGTGAGTGAGATTTCATGTTGATGGGACCCTATGCTCCTTCTTCAATAGAAAAAGAAGCACAAACCTTCTAATATTCTCTCTTCTAGGAGTTTCTTCACCTTGAGGGGTTTACAAATGTCCTTCCTAGATAGTGAGAAGGGATGAATGATCCCAAACCTTCTATGCTCCAAGTGAGTTCAAACACTGATCACAGGTTAAAAAAGTCATCAAGGAAAACACTGAAAGTTTTTGTTATGTCATGCAACTTCATAGACGGAAAGCAAGAACTTTAATGCATCCAGGAAAGATGGAATTCAGGACGTTAAAGAGGATCCACAAAATCCAGTACATAACAGAGGAATGAGTGGAATTTCGTGTGTACCATTGTGATATTTCCAAGAGACTCCTTCATAATTGACTGCAAACTTATCAATTGTAATTGATTACATCCACACAAGACCTCACTTTCAATCGTCTCTATCTATATGAGAAGAAAATTGGCTTAGTTTCCTTTCTCCATTTATTTTTTAGTTACTCCTTTTGAAATGGGATCTCTCTATGCACTCCAGTCAGGCTTGAACTTGCTACCTAGCATGGGTCAGCTTCTAACTCAGTAACCTCCAGCCTTTATAGTTGTAGTGTAATAGATGAACATACACTTCCTGTCTTGTGTGATTTTAGAAACAGGTCAAAGGCAATGATTTAGGATGAATGGAGATTTCTTTGAACATGATTCACGTGCTTTGATAGGAAGACAAACTGCAACTCAACTCAGAAACTTAGCTGCTGAACAAGAATCCAGCTAGACAGTGGGCCCCTTCTTTACAATCAAGTCATAGCAAATATTTAGCTCAGAAATTCCCTAGTCTGTTGTTCCTGTTTTGAAACTTGCACCCCACATATCAATTAAGAACTGACTGATGGGTATTGATCTCATGTTTCCTGACAGGATGACGATGGGTGCGATGGTTGGGAATACCTGTGGAGCTTGACTCCTTTTCTGTTTGAATCTAGAATCTTGAATAGTAGCAGGACAGGAAATATATGGACTTTCCACTCACCGAGGAGATTTGTGGCCAGTGGACTTCTTCTTCTGGATAATTGTTGGTTATTTACTCTCTTTTCAATTGATTTTAGTTTCATTTTCATACAAGTGTGAGGTCCAAGTAGTTTCAGTCAAGCCACTTCTGTATTTCCTATTTGTGGACAATCTTTTTCCCTTCTCTCTCTCAATGTGAGTGTGCCTGGGAAGTGTGTGTGTGTGTGTGTGTGTGTGTGTGTGTGTGTGTGTGTGTAAGTGCAAGTTCATTCTCTTCAGTAGCTTTGGTTTTCCACCACGAGGGTGTAAATCTATATGTTGTGTATGTAAGGAACATTAAATCACTAAGTCACATCCCAGTACTAAAGTTGAACACATTCTTGAGTTAATAATGCTAGAGACTCAACATAACATTGTCATGTGAAACATACACTACCACTGAAGTACAACCCTGACTTTCTAGATTTCTTTAGTGTATTTTGAAGTATTGCTTAATATCACTTTCCCAATATACAATTCTTCTAGTAACATTTATTAATTTATAAAAACAGGGCTCTGGGTTACAGAATCCAGAAAGAATGACTTAAACTGCATTATTCCCCAAAGACTTCCCAAGTCTCAGTGTCACTTGAGAGTTTATACTGTATACTTTTTCTCTGGTTTGTACACGTGAGATGATTCTGAAAGAGAGCCTCCTGCCTCTGCCTTCTTAATGCTGGATTACAGTCACAACCATATATACTTTATGTTTTGAATAATGTTCTTCAATTTAATTCCTCCCAAGGTTTCCTAGGGGTTAGATGCATGACTTGTGATTTTATCAGTATTGGCACAGAAATAGGCTGTGTCTTTCTCACCATAGCCTATGAGTTTCAAGACTCCATTATTGTTATTACAATATTCATTGTTGGTAAGTTGCTATCCCATATATTTCACAGATGGAAATATCTTTGTAATTACTAGGAATATTGAGAAGAAAGACACTAACAATGTGTAAATCTCCTTTGCAGGTAAATTTCATCTACTAATGCTAGAAGAAATGGACTCCAAGGAATGAAAGAATATTCATATTTTGTTTTCTCCAATTAAATGAAGTAGAGAGGAGATGCTTTCCTAAGAAGCAATGAACATTTGATGAGGTAGCTTATGAGAAGAAACAAGCAAAGAACAATGACACATTTTAGTGAATCAACAGATCAAAAGATTATCCCCTTAGCTGTCCCTAATATTTGTGAGGGGTTGATAATCACTCAGGGGGCAGTTTATCCTGATTCACCTTTATTCAGCGTCTGCTCCCTAAGGGCTAGGAAGAGGGAGGAAGGTACCTCTGCACTGGCTTTTATATTCTGCCTAGATGAACAAACACTGCCTGAGCTATGCTTTTATAAACCAAACCAAAACTAGATCCATCTAGGAGATCTGAGTTTAAACCACTGTCCAGACTTGAAGCAAGGAGATGTGTCTAAATGGTTTTGAGGATTTAACACTACATCCTAGACTTTGCATTTCAGAAAAATGAAGCGTAGTCAATCTACTGTTCTTTCCAATAGTATCACCCCTTCTGAGGACAGAGCTGTCTTTCTTCCCTCTTGAGTTCTAATTGACTCTGTGTTAGGGTCCAGCTTTTAAACAGGCACAGTTCAAGAAGAACTTAAAGGATGAAAACAAGTGTTAAGATCCTTGAACTTCCCAAGTGACAATCACTATTATTTCCAGCACTTAAAATGCAGAAGAGGTGAATCTCTCTGAGTTCCAGGCCAGCCTGGTCTTCAATATGAGTTCCAGAGGAGCCAGGGCTGTTACAGAGAAAGCCAATCTCAGAAAAATGCCATGAAAGAAAAAAAAAACCTTAACCTGGAAAATGGTGGGCGGGGATGTTCACTGTAGAATGTGGTCATGAAGCATCAAGCAGCATCACAACCAGCTATAGAATGTCTGGCTCATGGTCCGGGCAACAGTGAGGTACACACAGTCTTGCCTTCAATTCGTTGACTGTGCTGCCAAGGTCTCATGTCTTGGTGTGACTGGCTACTAAGGTAATTGTGATTACCTGATTTCCTCAATTTCAGGGTTCACAGAGGCCTGTTACCCACTGGAGCCCCACTTTTCCCACAGTGGAAGAGGCAAACCTTGTTGACAGAGAGTTCTGTCCTGCCTGGTCCAGCGGCTGTTTAGCCCCAAAGAAACACACAGAGGTCTACATTAATTACAAACTGGTTGGCTTCTTAGCTCAGGCTTCTTATTAACTCTTATAATTTATATTAGCCCATAATACTTCTCTGTTTTAGCCACGTGGCTTGATACCTTTTTCAGCGAGGCAGTCACATCTTGCTTGCTCTGTGTCTGGGTGATGACTGTAGACTGAATCTTTCCTCTTCCCAGAATTCTCCTGTTCTCATTGCCCCACCTCTACTTCCTGCCTGGTCGCCCCACCTATACATCCTGCCTGATCGCCCCACCTATACATCTTGCCTGGCTACTACTGGCCAATCAGCATTTTATTAAAACAAGTACAAGAAACAAATCTTTACAGGGTAAAACCATTGTCCCAGAGCACCTCCCCTTCTTTTTTCAAAACAAGAACTCTGTAATTGAGTCTTGCTTGTTTAACTTTTTTCCTGAACATTATCCATACAACTTGTAACCAACTATCTAAACAAAGAAATACATCTATAATCTGTTTTTTGGGGAATGTGGGTGTAATTTTCCAAGCTACTTCCTGATGATTGGGAGTGCTGATAATCTTCCTCCATTTTTCCGTAAGAAGGCTTGCAGCCTTTGCCATAGTGTTGGGTTTTTTGCTGTAATGAACCCTGTTCCAGATGATGCAATATGTCATCATAATCAGGTTTTGAACAACCAAGTTCTATTTTACTGTGTTCCATTTTCTACCTCTTTGGAGGCTCAGCTGGCTCCTCAGACTTTTCCTCATTTCCTCCCTCCTTCTGGCCTTTTATCTTTCTACATGTCCCAGGATGTTTGGGAGACACGGTACCAAGCTGCCTGTGAGGGCGGTAGGTTGAAGAAGTGCTTGGTTTCCCTTTGGTCAGGAACAGGCTGTCTGCCCTGCTACATCCTTCTACTTTGCATGTTGAGTTAGTCTGGCTCTTGGTGGATCCTCTTGGGATATTGCTCTATTGGTATCTGATAAACCACTTAGTTGACCAAGAGACATTTTATCATCTCTATACATGCTGGCACAAACTTGGAGACTTTAGTGTAAAGGGCTAAGGGGTCCTCTTTAGCATTGGAGGTTCACTTTTGATGTTGGAGTCAAGACGAGAGTGAAGACAGATTGATGTGACAGGACCAAAGTGTCCTTTCACCTCAAAGAATTGATCAGTTAATTTGCCTCTGTGAGGAGTCAGTTTGCCAATTCCCTTGTAGAAATTCTGTGAATCTTAGGTTTGTGCTGTGGGACAATGGTTTTACCCTTTAAAGATTTGTTTCCAGCTAGGAGTATTTGTAAAGTGTCACAGACATTTCAGAATACTTCATAGCCTCAAATAAGATCTGTTTACTCTTTGAATGCTAAGGAAGTCCTTATGATGCTAAATATGTATTTATAATTCAGGTCAATGTAACAAAAGTTATATTCATCTGTGAAGAGGGAACCACTTTCATTGAGGAATTTCCTTCCCCAGATGAGCCTGTGATCAAGTCTGTGGGTCAATTCCTTTATTGATGTGAGAAATAACAGCCCACTGTGCAAGACTAATCCATGGCAGGTTGGTCCTGGGGTGCATAAGAGGGCTAAATGAAAAGTAAGTACTGCTGATTAGGTAGAAATAGTTTTTCCTGGAAATGAACTTCTGGAATGGTTGTCCAATATCCAATGTGTATGGTTAATCTAAAAACAAATATATACAAGCGACAGTAAATAGACATAGTTGGTTTTGTTTACCTACTTTTTCATATATATATATTTATAAGTTTCTAGATATGTATATTGGCAGCAATAATAAAAGAAGTTATGAATATTTGGGTGGATTGGAATGGTTGCTGGGAAGGTGGCATCAAAAATGTTAATATATTTTATTGAAAATAAAATTACTGTTAAAAAAGAGAGAACACACTACCTGAGTGAGCCATGTGAAGCAAGAGACCATTCAGCATATCCTCACAGTCTTTGCTTCAGCTCCTGCTTTCGTCTCCTTGCCTTGGTTTCCCTGGATGATGGACTGTCCCTGGTCTTTCAAATAAAACCTCTCCTTTCCATGTTGCCTTTGGTCAGCATCTCATCACAGCAAGAGAAACAAAGTAATACAACTTTCTTTTCTATGAATCCTGTCGCTGACACACAGCAGTAAACACTACATCATGCGCAAAACGTGAGTTATTGCAACATCCAGGGAAGGCAGAATAGGCCAATTTTCCATCCTCTATGTATATGCACAGCATATCAGAATCATCAAGGTGAAAGCCAAGCCATATTTCCTTTGGGACAATCACTTCTCATATGCTTCCTTGTTCCTAGAACCCTGAGCACTATGCCAATATGAACCATTGCAATTAAGTCATAACAAAACTACACTCTGGCTTACCTGTAGTGATGCAGACATCTAATACCAGCAATCTAGAGTGGAGGCAAGAGTGTCACTATGAGGGGTCAGTCTGAGATGTTTATGAACACTTTGTCTTAAAACTAAGATGCTGCTTCTTCCAAACCCCAAACCATCTTTCCCTCTGTTGTGGGGACTCCACAGGAAGTCCATTCACAAAGGAATGAGTTCCCTTGGAATTGATTACACAGCATCTATGTATTTCCTGCAGAAATTGACCCCATCTATCTTTTACGGCTCTACGTTCATATACTTGGCTTACTGACTCAACTATAAAGTTTAAAATATTTTTGTTCATTTTCAAGGAAACAAATATAGTGACTGGCAGTTGATGATGCATGTAAAACTAGTTCTCATTGGACATTAAATACATTATTCACTGTTTATGGAGGACTTAGATACTGTTGATGGTACACCAAACTACACTAAGTATAGTATTATCTAGTATATTAAGTATATCTAGTGTACTTAGATATTGTGAACAGTATGGTTGATATGCATTGAAATTTTAGTCAATTTCCTATAACCCCTCTCAGGAAGAAGACCTTCTTCACCATTACTTATGGATTCTTGAATAATGAACTGATTTAGTATTTGCCTGAATTTCAGCAGTAGATATTTGTTATGGTCTGAAAAATGATTGCTAATTGTTTTAAAATCTGTCAAAGTAAAATATGAACTTAAAAGCAATAATATATCAATACGAATGAATGAACTTTAACCAAATCTAGAAAACTTTTTTAATTACCTAGTTTTGTTGTTAGGTAGAGTCAGAAATATTGGGTCAAAATTTATTTGTACTGTTTCTTATTTTTTTAATTGATTTTTATTGAGCTCTACATTTTTCTCTAATCCCTTCCCTGTATCTCTTCTTTCTGCTTCAACCCTCCCACAAGGTCCCCATGCTCCCAATTTACTCAGGTGATCTTGTCTTTTTCTACTTCCCATGTAGATTAGATCTATATAAGTCTCTCTTAGTGTCCATATTGTTGTCTACGTTCTCTGGGATTGTGGTTTGTAGGCTGGTTTTCTTTGTTTTATGTTTAAAAACCAGCTATGAGTGAGTACATGTGATAATTGTCTTTCTGTGTCTTAGTTACCTTACTTAGAATAATGTTTTCTAGCTCCATCCATTGTCCTGCAAAATTCAAGATGTCGTTATTTTTTTCTGCTGTGTAGTACTCCATTGTGTAAATGTACCACATTTTCCTTATCCATTCTTCAGTCAAGGGGCATTTAGGCTGTTTCCAGGTTCTGACTTTGAAAACAAAGCTTCTGTGAACATAGTTTAGCATATGTTCTTGTGGCATGATTGAGCATCCTTTGGATATATAGCCAAAAGTGGTATTACTGGGTCTTGAGGAAGCTTGTTTCCTAATTTTCTGAGAAATCGCCACACTGACATCCAAAGGGGTTGTACCAGCTTGCATTCTCACCAGCAATGCAGGAGTGTTCCCTTTTCCCCACAACCTCTCCAGGATAAGTTGTCATCAGTGTTTTTTTATCTTGGCCTTTCTTACAGGTGTAAGATGGAATCTCAGAGTTGTTGTGATTTGCATTTCTCTGATGACTAAGAATGTTGAACATTTCCTTAAGTGTCTTTCAGCCATTTTAGATTCCTCTGTTGAGAGTTCTCTGTTTAGGTCTGTACTCCATTTTTTTTTAAATTGGATTATGTATTCTTTTAGTCACAAATTTCTAGAGTTCTTTGTATATTTTGGAGATCAAACCTTTGTCTGATGTTGGGTTAGTTAAGATCTTTTTCCATTCTGTAGGTTGTCATTTTATTGACCGTGTCCTATGCTTTAAAGATACTTTTTAGTTTTAGGGCATCCCATTTATTAATTATTTCTCTCAGTGTCTGTGGTGCTGGGGTTATATTTAGGAAGTGGTCTCCAGTGCCAATGCATTCAAGTGTATTTCCCACTTTCTCTTCTATAAGGTTCAGTGTGGCTGGCTTTATGTTGAGGTCTTTGATCCATTTGGACTTGAATTTTATGCATGGTGACAGATATGGGTCTATTTTCATCCTACTACATGTTGATATCCAGTTATGTCAGCACCACTTGTTAAATATTCTTTCTTTTTTCCATTTAATATTTTTTGCTTCTTTGTCAAAAATCAGGTGTTCAAATATGTGCAGATTAATATCCGGATCTTCTATTCGGTTCCATTGGTCTTCCTGTCTGTTCTTATGCCAATACCAGGCTGTTTTCAGTACTGTAGCTCTGTAGTAAAGTTTGAAGTCAGGGATTTTGATGCCTCCAGAAGTTCTTTTATTTTGCAGGATTGTTTTGGCTATCCTGATTTTTTGCTTTTCCATAGGAAGTTGAGAACCATTCTTTTGAGATCTGTGAAAAATTTTACTGGGATTTTGATGGACATTGCGTTGAATCTGTAGATTGCTTTTGGTGAGATTGCCATTTTTATTATGTTAATTTTGCCTACCCAGGAGCATGGGAGATCTTTCCACTTTCTGGTATCTTCTTCAGTTTCTTTCTTCAAAGATTTAAAAGTTCTTGTCATACAAGTCTTCCACTTGCTTGGTTAGAGTTACCCTGAGATATTTTATGCTATTTGTGGCTATTGTGAAAGCTGTTGATTCTATGATTTCTTTCCCAGACCTTTTATCATCTATGTACAGGAGGGCTACTGATTTTTTTGAGTTAATCTTGTATCCTGCCATATTACTGAAAGTGTTTATGAGCTGTAGAAGTTCCTTGGTAGAATTTTTGGGATCGCTTATGTAAACTATCATATCATCAGCAAACAGAGTTTGACTTCTTTTTCAATTTATATCCCCTTGATCTCCCTTCGGTGTATTATTGCTCTAGCTAGAACCTCAAGAACTATATTGAATAAATATGGAGAGAGTGAACAACCTTGTCTTGTTCCTGATTTCAGTGGAATCACTGGATGTTTCTCTCCATTTAGTTTGATGTTGGCTGTTGGCTTGCTGTATAATGTCTTTATTATGTTTAGGTATTTCCTTGTATCCCTGCTCTCTCCAAAACCTTTATCATGAAGGGATATTGTATTCTATCAAAAACTTTTTTAGAATCTCATGAGATGATCATGTGGTTTTTATTTTTTAGCTTGTTTATATAGTGGATTACCTTGACAGATTTTCATATGTTGAACCATTCCTGCATCTCTGGGATGAAGGCGACTTGTTCATGGTGGATGACGGTTCTGATGTGTTATTGGATTCAATTTGCCAGTATTTTATTTAGTATTTTTGCATCAATGTTCATAAGTGAGATTGGTCTGTAATTTTCTTTCTTAGTTATGTCTTTCTGTGGCTTGGGTATCAGGGTAATTGTAGCCTCATAAAAAGAGTTTGGCAATGTTCCTTCTGTTTCTATTGTGTGGAATAATTTGAGGAGTATTGGTATTAGTTCTTCTTTGAAAGTCTTCTGAGCTGAAACCATCTGGTCCTGTTTTTTTGTTTGTTTGTTTTGTTTTTTTTTTTTTGGTTGGGAGAATTTTGTTGACTGTTTCTATTTCTTCAGCAGTTATATGTCTGTTTAATTTGCTTATCTGGTCTTGATTTAATCTTGGTAAGTGGTATTTACCCAGTAAGATGTCCATTTCCTTTAAGTTTTTCAATTTTGTGGAGTACAGGTTTTCTAAATATGACCTGATGATTCTCTGTATTTCCTCCGTGTCTGTTGTTATGTCCCCCTTTTCATTTCTGATTTTGTTAATTTGGATATTCTCTCTCTGCCTTTTGGTTAGTTTGGATAAAGGTTTGTCTATTTTGTTGATTTTCTTGAAGAATCAACTCTGTCTCATTTATCTTTGTATTATTTTCTTTGTTTCTATTTTGTTGATTTTAGCTCTCATTTTGATGATTTCCTGCTGTCTAGTTCTCTTAGGTGAGTTTTTTTTTCTTCTAAAGTTTTCAAATGTTCTGTTAATTCACTAGTGTGGGATTTTCCCAGCTTCGTTATGTGGGCATTTAGTGCTATGAACTTACCTCTTAACACTGCTTTCATTGTGTCCCATAAATTTGGGTATGTTGTGTGGTCATTTTTGTTGAATTTTAGGAAGTCTTTAATTTCTCCCTCTATTTCTTCTTTTACCCATTGATGATTCAGGTGAGCATTGTTTAATTTCCACGTTTGTGAGTTTTCTAGAATTAGTATTGCTGTTGACTTCTTGTTTTATACCATGGTGATCTGATAAGGTACATTGGGTTA